GCAGTGCTACCCCACGTGCCCCAGCTGGCCTTTGGGTGGGTTTATTGTTGCTAAACGTGGCTGAAAGGCAAGTGGAAAAGGCAGCTGCCTGTTGTGGCAGGTTGTGGGGGGCAGGTGACAAACTGTGTGATATGGCCTGAAGAGATGGGGGGGGTCCCACATGATCTGAATGGCTTGTGTCCATCAACCTCTCCACCTAAGTGCTGATTTCCCATACAGTCTTGAAGGAGCATCACATAGCAGCAATTTAAAGGACAAGGTTTCAGAATTTCCATTATAGTTTTCAATATTGATAAATGCTAGCAGACTTAGCAATAACAAATCGCACAAAACATTTAAGAATCACACACAGCCAATGCTTGGGAGCAGTGTCCTCTTTTCCTCACACCTGTGCTGTTCCATGGTGTCTTTATACCTTCTTCACACACACATTTTTTTGTATCAGAGATGCTTCCCATTCAACATCCCACAGATGGGATGTCCTTCCTTGTGGAAGGACACACTAGCCCATAGCTCTTTAGTGATGTAAGTCACTGATTTGAGAGCAAATGAAAGTAAGGACAGGAGCTCACAAGTGTTACTCCAGATGCTGGCCCAGTTTCACAAGCAACCTAATCTGAAGAACCATTTTGAAAACGTGAGTTCCCTTCTCTTACCAGGACCAACCAAAGAAAAGTGCTCTACAGACAACTGCCTGACATGTTTGCAAGACACATATTGCCCCACTTTTCAACCTACGGTTCAAAAATGAAAAGTACAGGGAGTACTGTAATGTGACCTTGAAGATCAAGCCTATACCCCCATTTCAAGATCCCTAGTTATGCAGAGTAAGCTTTGGTTTACTTGTAAGACCCTTGGCCCACCAGGCTGGGAAGCTTAAGCAGAAAGCAAAGGTTGGCATTTTGCCCCTTAAAGGCAGCCTGGGCACAACAAGCTGAGTACCTGCTCTTGCATGATCACTGCTGGGAAAACATTCTACAGCTACTCAGCAGTGAACTCAGCTGTGTCTGACTTCTAGGTATCCTGGAAGTGTAGTTCCCAAACCCAAAGTGGATGCTCCAGAGCACAGTATGCAGAAGGCTTACGTCCTGAGAATGGAATTTGAAATGAACAGAGGAGCGCGGGAATGTTTTGCAAGTCTCATCCATTATTTACCCTTCAAAATATTTTCTAGGATTTGGGTTCCATGTCATCCCTTTATGTTTCTAGCATGACTCATTCACACTTTTCTTCTAAAATACGACCCCCAGAGGGTACAGCGATGGATGATGTCAGTGGTGCTGTGTTTAGGTTACTTTCCTGAGAAGTGTCTTCTCATCAAGAAGGGATCCAAATACGCATCTCAAAGCCAGACATTTCCCTGTGCCTCCCCATCCCGGCCTTTTGGTTATAAATGACCAAGTTTGCTGTGCCTAGTGCTAAGTGCAGTGCTGTCAGGGTGAGGGAGATGGGCTCTCTGAGCACGTGGGAGGCACCAGACCCATCAAAATTAAACACACGAAGCAAGCCCAGCCATAAAAGCCACACATTTGTATATATGCAGTTGCAGGGTGTTATATATAATACAATGTTACCAATGAAAATGTCAACATTTAGACATTCCTGAAATCATGCATTTCACGTAAGTCATAAATTAGTTAGGTGACTAATTGCCTTTTGGGATTTTTGACCCAAAGATGTGATGTGCTACATTTGGGGGATATGTGAAGGAGTGAGTTCATGTCTTTTACAGTTTAGTCTAATAAAATTTTAACAAAATCATCTTTTCCTTGATCAAGAAATAGGAGACAGGTGCTCTAGTTTCTAATTCTGCCATGGTTTCAGACCTGCTGCTATTATGTTGAGTTTCTACATTTGCAGTAAAGTTGGGTACTACTTTTCCCTCAGAGGAAACTTATTTTTAACTTTAAAATATCCAAGATAATTAGTGTTTCATTGGGGTATTTTGTTTTGTTTTGAAGGTGTGTTTTTTTTAAATCTACTTTTGTAGAGCTTGAATAATTATATTCAGGAAAAGTTAATAGAGCAGAGAGTAGAAAAGTAGTAATTGATATAGAAAGAATTTAAAGAAAGAAGCATGAGCAAAAGCCTGGAGGAGGATTTGTATGGCTCCAGTCAGCTTTCAGTTCTCAATGTCTGCTCACCTGCAGTACAAGGAAAATGTTCTGGAGGGGTTGATTTTTAGAGAAGTAAAACCAGACTATGTATATTTAAAAATAAATAAATAAATAAAAGACAGGAACTAAGAGGTTTGGTTTTGTTTTGTTTTTGGTTGTTTTGTTTCCAGTGGTATGGAAATACAACTGGGAAACCAAGAAAGTAACTTTCTGGAATAATCTTTCCAAAGAAAGAGCCCCATGAACAATTATGACAAAAGTCGAAGACTGTGCAATGGCAACGTTCCCCCACTGATGGTACCATAAGGTGAGATGGTTCCCTTTGTTCCATTCTTGGCCACGTGGCTCTGGAAAAGTGGGAAGCAGCTCATGTTCAGAATGCTGGCATTGAAGACCACAGTCTGCTTTCTGTTACAAAAGGGAGAAAAAGAGACAAATGGCATTATTCACTTTCTTATTCCTGAACAGAAAGTTCAACAATACAATGAGGAGTTTGATGCTGGAATGGTTATGTTTGGGATTCTCTTCCTCCCAAATTAATACAAAAGACGAGCTGTAGTTCAGAAAGGCAACAACATTTGAGAACTCTGATTTTCCATTACTTAATGCAACAATGAAGTGCTGCTTTTGGCTTTGCCAAAACTTTGATGGAAAAAAACCCAAACAACTGAAGCTGCCTGTTTAGACTTACTCAATGTAAAAGTCTGCTGCAGCTACAAGTAACACCTAATTCAGGGTTTAAAGATGTGCAATAAAGGAAATGCTGCTTTTAACCCATTGCAATTAAGTGTGTGCAGATAAGAAAAGGACTGGGAGGGAAAGGACAGCGATTCTCAGCAAAAATTAAGCTGTTGCTTATGATTGCTGGGTTTGACAACAGGAAGAGGCAGAAGTAGCTTCTCCCTGAAGTCATCCAAGCTGTTCCCTGGTTCTTTCTCTGCCTTTTGCAAGGGCAGCCATATAAGGCAGCCAAAAGGGAGGGACCTTGCCTTCCTTAGGGTGGGACTTGATAAGCTGGGGGCAGAGCCAGGCAGCAACTCTTCTCCCTGCACCTATCCAGGGAATCTGCTGTATGGAGCTGAGGCAGCAGCCAAGAGAAGGAATAGGACACGCAACAGGAGACAGTAGGTGCTGTTTGCCAGCTGGTTTCTGTGCTGTGTGTCTGTGGGATCCCTTGTTTTGATGAGCCAGGCTAGCAAAGGTGTTTCAGGTAGCTTTGTTTGCCCCTGCTGGGTTGCCAGCCTTTGCTACAAGCACTTGTCTAGGCAGCCTCAGCATCCTAAAGTGAACTTAATTCTCATTGGTACTTCTTATGTACCTGTTGTAGGTTGGCTTGGATGAAGGGTTTTGTGTTTTAATTTTAACGTTTGGCTCCTCCATCTTTTGTTTAAGAAAACTGATGGGGGAAAGGATGTATTTCTCTATCTGCTATAGGACTGTTGTAGAAATGTGAACTGATATTTGTCTTTCCATGACCAGTGTTAAGACATGGGCACAGTGTAACAAACCATGTTAAAATGTATAGATGTAAATATTTTGTGGAGTAACTTGAAGGGCTCTGTTCAGATGATGGTTCATGCAATACACATAAAGATCTTTAAGCAACAACAAAAAATAAGCTTCGTTTAAAAAAAAAGAGGTGAAGGCTGAAATTCTCTCTCTCTAAAATACTCTATTTTGCTGAAGCTAAAGTAACTCAAAATGTGGATGTGAGTCTTTTCTGACACAGAAGCAGTCAGCTGCAACACCTTAACATGTGGGATTTATATTGCAGATAACAGTACATTATAATATAACATTACAGACGTAATTTTGACATTAACATCAGCAGTGCATTGAAGTTAAAGTCACCTCTCATGATACTTTTAATATTCTCACCTTTTCATAATGTTTTCATATTTTCATTTTAGCTAGGCATTTCAAATGAGGAAGCTTTTCATGGTGATATGTCAGAAATAAGACAGTACAAAAGACAGCTGCTCTCAATCTCATGAAATTATTAATTAATTAATTAAAATACTAAATTAAATTTAAATACTCTGCTGAGTATTAGCAGCAACTTAAGTCTGCCATATGAAATGTATGTTGATCTAGAAAATCCTTATTGTGTATTCTGTTTTTTGTAAGTACTTGTTCAAGTGTAGCTGCAAACATTAAATGGCTTGAGGAAAATTGAGAATCAGGTCAGGAGTCCTTGATCTTTTTCTTTCTAGCAATAATAACCTCCTGATATCAGTTATCATTAATGGCATCATCCTTTTTACACTTGAGAAAAAATGTCCCAGAGTACCATGGACTGCAAGATCAGATCCCATGAGGTGACTGAAATAATTTATTCAAGTCCTAAAGACTTAAGGCCTCTTGAGGTGTAGGTGTTGAAGTTCAAACCTCAGTGTGTTTTGGGCAACAGCAAGTTCATGAATTCCAGGAGATTTTCACAGTTCCATCTCTAATCAGGACACTTTAAGAACTACTCAGCTTAAAATGATCTCATAGGATCAGGTCTCAAGACAGCTCTGCTGCTCTACGAGTGTTGCATTATTTAAATAGTTTTAATGTTCTTTCTTAATGTAACATTGAATCTTAATTTTCTTTCTTGCTTCCTCCAGAAGTCCCGACCTCTCTCCTTTTCCAGACACTCTTGTTACATCTGGTGTCTAGCACGTGTGGTCGTCTGATACATTTTTCTGATTTAATTTCAGAGGCTGTGAGTGACAGCAGGTGACAGGCTGACAGCTCACACTTGTGTCACAGCGAAGCTCTGTGATAACAGCACAAAGTCATCGGCTGCCGGAGAACACACTGGACAGGGAGGACATACAATACCTTCTTCATGATTTTAAATATTGATCAGAGTTAGCAATACCTGTGCATTGTTACAGGATGTCCTGTGATAGTGGAGAAACTGTTGGGTACCCCATGGACAACCGCTGTGGAGAGGAGCAAGGCTCCACTTTTCGGCTGAGCAGTCTGAATGGGAATAGGAAATCTGCGGCATTGCTGGAAGCCAGGGGGAACTTAAGCAGCATGCAGTATTCTTCTGTGGCCCTGGATCCAGAAACCTCCGTGAATAACGGCTCCAGGATTCCCCGGAAGCCCGAGGAAGGCACAAAGGCTGCAGCCTTGGCGGAAGGTGAGGCCAGCAGGGCCCGCACCGTGGAGTGTTTCCGTGGCCGCTATTTAACTAAAACCAGCACTCAGGGAGACGTCTACAACTTCCTGGAGAGGCCCAGTGGATGGAAGTGTTTTATCTATCATTTCGCTGTGTAAGTACCTGCGTTTTCACGTGGCCTTTGGCGTGAGAAAAATCTGAAACTGGCCGCTTCATCAGCCAGAAATCGGAGTGCTTGAGGTCCTGGGCTGAAAACCTGTTGCATGAGTAAGATGGAAAAGCCAGTTTCTCGTTGGATCAGCCACTGTATCCATTAACATTTCCAGAAGAGGGCTTCTTGTTCTTCAAAGGGTATTTGTTTTCAAATATGTACACTGTTTATTTGGTATTTCTGAGGGTTTAAGTCCTGTATGCTCATGGCAGTGTCTGTTGCTGCTTTACATTGTTGTCGCTTCAGACACTGGAGTTTCTATCATGAGATGGGGAGGATTCAGCTATGATCAGGTGCATCGTGCTCTCCTGAGTTTGTTTTGCTCCTGCTAAAATGCCCAAACAAGTATTTTGTTAGACAGACATGTGACCATAACATTACTAATTTGAACTGATTTATAGTAAGGAACATGTAATGAGTACAAATTTAGCAAAATGTTTTTAATTATACTGTGTATGTAGTACAAGCAAGGAGGAAATTAGGACTTCCATTTACCCTTGTAAAACAGTGGTTAACATATTAATACAGCTGTTACTGTTTTCTTTGAGTTGCTTATGGTATCTGTCAAGTTTAGCAAGGCCTCAATTACTGTTTTGAATGCTGCTTAACAGAATGATAATTTGTCATCTTAGCTGTAGAAAGGGTCCAATTGTGCTCTCACTGAGGCCAGAGGAAGTTTTACTGGCTGGAGTGAATGCAAACTGAGCCAAAAGGCCTTGCTTTTATTATAAAATTAGCGTATGTCCTAAAGAGATGCAGAGTGTTGAAATTATTCTGTTTGTCTCAGATGAACTTTTCTATGGCCTGACTTAATTTTGGAAAAAACATCAGTTACTGCAGTCAAGAAGTGCCCAAAGAAATATATGGTAATTATAAGGATGAATCCTAATGCTTCTATTTGGCATAAAATAGATAGTCTTATTAATACTTGCTTCCTTTCACCCCCTCAACATCATACAGGGATTTTTTTTTAAAAGGATTTTTTGATTCATTAAATTTCACCAAGTAAAAGGATAGGGCCTCTTTTAAGGACTATGCTTAAAGTATATAATAATTCTTAAGGATTAAAAAGATGTAATTTGTGTAGATTTTAATATGCAAATAGCCATGATTTAAGCCTATTTGAGATTAGAATTTACTAATCTTGCTAAAATGCATTTGTTTCATCATCTATGTTGCTTTTATCTCTGACTTAAAGGTTGACCTTTAATATGCACTTTATATTCTGCAATGGGCATTAAAATAAAACAAAATACAAAATTCTATACACCCTCTCCACACTAGAAAATTGGAGAAAATATTGGTTTTACCAACACAAAGGTTTGGTTTTTTTTGAGCAAGAATTACTAACTTAAATGAAGGAATATGTAATTTGACTGCTTTTAAAAGTTTGGGGGGTTTTTTGGGTTTTTTTGAGGTTGCTTGAAAGGAAACATTTGAGACATAGTTTTTGGCAAGAATTTTGTCCTAAGGATATTTGTCCTAATAATTATCCCAATAACTACACGGTGTGCTCATCTATATAACAAGTTTCTGTTTTGGAAAGAACATGCTTTACAACATTAAATATTATTAAAGTGAAACATTGTTAAAGAAATAAATGACTAGTCTAAAATACAATAAATTTTATAATGAGAACAACCTGTGACTAATTTTTAAAAGGTTTCCCATGTTATACATGTGCGTTTGGGGTAACTTATGTACAGTTGATCTGATGATTATGACTATTTTTGTAACAAATCCAAACTTTCAAGCTGGTATTTGTGTAGCCTGGAGGAGCTGGATGTGCACTGTAAGAGCCTTCAGGTATTGGAGATCACATGTATTAAAGCTCAGCTATTTGCCATATGGCCCTTTTTTCTGGTCCAGAAAAAGAAGCCTGTGCCTGCCTTTCTAAACTCAGCTATGTACTTGCTTAGAAATCACGTCCAAATGTCAAGGTATTAGGGTATAACCCTCATATTTTATCTCTTAAATGAAAAATACAGTATGTGTGATAATGAAGGTTCTTGGCAAATCTACACATTTAAATAATTTGGTTGCAAATGGAGTCTTATTTATGTGATGAATTTGTTTCTGAAACATTTATACATTTAATTACTACTGGAATGGCTCCATTGTAGGCTAGAATATTGTGTTCATTGGGCTAAATACATGTGAACAGAGTGGTGAGGGGTGAAATCAGACAGTTTTCATAATAAGAAGACTATTGCCCCTTTAGACACCAGGCAGCAGTGATCATAAACCAAAACCAGAATCCAGTGTAGGTCCTCAAAGTGCTAGAGTGGCAGTGCAACATTTCCCACCACAGTTCCAAGTCTTTGTGGGTCACCTTGGCCATAGTAAAGGGTGGATGAGAGAGTCCAGCTCTTCCATGTGGTGAAACACGGGCAGAGAAGAACCTGGGACCGAGACAGAGAAGGCTAGATTGGTTTGTTATAGAAGCTGAGACTGGTGCCAGTGATGCTGAAACTGGAGGAAAAGCAATACAAGAGCAGTCTAGCTCAAGGACAAAGAGAACCTGATTTAAGCAGGAAGGATGAAGGAAAAAGGACCAGCAGGTTTTGGAGATCAGAAGGCTGGATACGGGCCGAAAGAGTTGGAAGTGTGGGACAGCTGAAAATGGTCAAGAAGCTCAGAGAGCCACTGGGGGGAAGAAGGGGCAGGAGATGACAGCTGGAAGCTAGGGAAAAGAGGGAGCGTGGAATTTGCGATGGGACAAGGAACCTTTCACCCATAGGCAACTGGTTTGAATCTTGTCCAAGTCAATAGTGAAGAAGTGGTAATGACTGTGGGGAGATACAAAAGGAGCTGTTGGTCTCTGTCCAGTTCCTAGCAAATGGATGTCAGCATCACTGCTGGAGTTAGCACAGCTGGAAGGGTTCCTGGCAGGCCCCACAGAAACCACAGGCTGGTTGAAAAGGGAGGCAAGTCGAAGTCAAGAGGGAGGCCCATGGGAGGGACCCTTAGATTGCATTCTCAGGCCTGCCATTTTCCTGCTGTATAACACTGTGGAAGTTTAAGGGAGAACTTGCAGCTGTTCCAGGTTACTTCATGCTGGTTTGGCCACCTCTTAAATAAGTGTTAGACCTTGCACTCATTTAAAAGTTAGACGAGCCTTTATATCCCATGATTTCCTACGGGATGAGGTGAGCTGATCTAGCAGCTCATTGCTAACAAACCACCTCCAGTTCTGCTCCCCTCATCCACCTTCACCATTCAGCTTGCTCCTGCCACCTCTGATTGTCCTTGGTTATACTTGGAGAGCCAGTTCAACTTGCTACACCAGCAGGAACATAGGCCAACATGGGAAAAAGTGGATGGTCTTCTGTCAGGTTAGTAATACACATCCAGCACCTTGAAGAACTGTCTACTATTGTTCTCTTAGTGCTCCTAAGTGGATCGTAATCACCTGTTGAATTTCACATAAAATTGTACCTAGTAATTGCAAAGTAACATTGCAAATCATCTGCAAGTGCTGCAGACCACCTGGTTTGATTGAAAAACATTTCCTAAATGTAGAATTTGCCTAGCAACAAAGTCTGCTCTCCAGGCTGGCTCGTGGCTTACAGGGAAACAACTCCTCCAAATGGTGACTCAGAGGGACTCATGGCTATTGCTCTGGATCATTCCTGGGGGGTGCTGCCTGTCTCTCTGTCGATTGTGTGGCAAAGACAGGGAGTGTGTCTTCCCTAGAGTGTGGTTTGACAAGAGCTGACATCATAGTTTACCAACATCAAAAGGGCCAGGTTCACTTTCTCACCTTCTCTTCTGGACGTGCATTTCTCCTGCAGAACATGTGCTGCTTCTGGCACTCCCTGTAGCCCTCCTAAGCTTAGTCACCTTGCTGTAATGGGAGAAATGGAGCTCAGCAAGAAAGTGAGTGGCTTTTGATATCTTAGGGAGTTGTGGCATGTCAGCAAGTGGTCTGATGGTGCTGCAACCAGTACTAACCAGTTGACCAAGACTGGAATGGAATGAGAGTAAGTTCTAACCAGTTGGCCAAGACTGCAAAAACTTCTGTCTCTTTTTTTATTTTTTTTTTTTTTTGCCACCAGAGGACTGTGGTATTGCCTCTGTTTTATATGAAAACATGCTCTAAGCTTATTTTGTTACCCTTTTCCTCCTTCAGACTGACTCCCATGGCTTCTTCAAAGAGAACATGCACACACATGTACATGTTCCTGGCACCGTGTTGAAAAGGACTCAACTAAGGAATTACTGTGGAATAATTCAGAGTGCACAATCCTTACAAAAATGTGAACAACATCAATAATGTCACTGACTTAAAACTTTGGAAGGAAAGTACGAAAGATCAAAAACATGTTTATAAAATAGGGGCTGGCCAGCTAAGGGTTTTTTCCTTTATAAAAGTTCCTGTGTACCAGAGCCTGTGTCACCATGAGTAATGCAAAAAAAAAAAAAAAAAAAAAAAAAGAGAATTCAGATTATTTGGACAAATTAGAAATTACAAGTTTTTTCCATATTATTGTTTCTCTTCAAACTTTGCTCTCTCAGGTTTTTTTACCTCCTCCAACTTCATGTAAGAAATGCTGTAGTCTTGTTCTGTAAATCCAGTTGAAGGAGTTAAGAGCCACCATTCTGGCTGATATTCCATTTTTGTTTGGCATGCAACTGCTGCTGATGTAAAGAACATTAAAAGGCAAGAAATGTAAGGATCTGGTCCTTCCTTTTAATGACTGTGAGGCACTTGCCTGCATATATTTTGATTCTTTGAGTGTGACAGCTCTCATTTAGTGAACTAAATATACATAGCAAGTAAGTCAGCATAGTGTTCTCCAGCTCCTGTTTTTATCTGTAAATGGAGCCTATAACCCATTATTTATAACTGTTTATCTCAAAGGGACTGTCAAATTCCCATTTCTGTCCTTTCCACAATTATCTCTAGAATGCAAGCAGATATTTTGCTTTTTCCAATGATG